CTTGCCCGCCCCCTTCCCCTGTTTCAGATCCTGTACCTGTGTGGCCTGCCCCTGCCCACCCCCAAAAGGCGCCCTCTTCCTCCTCCACCTCTTTGCTGTCTTCCGACCTCCCCTCATACCCACCCTGGAGCCCCCTACCTGCCTCTGTCCAGCTGGATCCCTTCTCCAGCCTCCTAATGTATACCCCTCCCTCCACCCTAATTTCCACAGGCTCACAGCCCACCTGCCCCTCTTATTTAGTGTCCCCTAGCCTCCACCAAGTCTCTCCCCATCTCCTTTCTGAAGTCTGTTCCTGATCCTTTCCATGCCTTAGGAATTTGATCCCCAGCAAGAACGTGACTTTTACAGGACTCTCTCCCTGTTGAAGAAGAAGGACCCCCGCATTTACCAGAAAGATGCCACCTTCTATCAGAGAACAGGTCTGGGGCTGCTCATCCCTACGGCCCAGGCTCCCCACTGCCTTACTGGCTTTTGTGAATACTTAATGAACCCTTATATGTTATATGTTCTAGGTCTACAGTGCATAGCAGAGTGTTTTAAGTTATTACTTGCTGTTAATAACAACTGTGTGCTTAGCACTGTTCAGAGCATGAATTACTCACTGAATGAGCGTAGCCAGCTACTACTGATGTAGTATAAGTGTGATACCTGTCTCACAGCTGGGAACTGGTGGCTCGGGGATTTGAAACCTTGGGGGTGTCCTGGCCCAAGCCCTGTGAGATTCTCTGCCTGGGAAAGGAAGGGGGCTGTGGGTGATGGCAGATGTCTCTGGCAACCCGATAGTATCCTCCTCGGAGAGTGAGGAAGCGCCAGCAGCCAAGGAGAAACAAAAGAAGATGCGGCCCATGTACCTGAAGGACTACGAAAGGAAGGTTATCTTGGAGAAAGAAGGGTGAGGAGAGACCTTGACTCCCCACCGTCCCCCCACAGTCTTCCCAGGGCAGGCAGACAGGCACATGGGAGTCTTAGAAGCAAGGGTGGAAAGAAGCTGGCGGAGACTCACCAGGATTGAGGGAACCCCAGAGAACAGCATCGTCAGTGACTCACCTGTACCCCACTGCCCCCCAACTGCTGCTCTAACAGCTGCCTGCCCCATAGGGACAGACGAGCCATGGGGAGTCTGTTCTGAAAGCCCCATTCTTCCTTGCGCAGCAAATATATCGATGAGGAAAATTCAGATGAGGAGACCTCCAATCAGAGATTCCAGGTAGGTGGGGTGGAGGCCTGGTCGGGGGCTGAGGGGCTTGGGGCTGGGCCTGAGGCCTGTGTCACTCTCTCTGCAGCAGATCTCGTCAAAAAGTTACGCAGAAGAGCAGAAACAGCTCAAGGAAAGGTGAGCCTGGGCGGATTGAATGGCCAAATGGATAGGACTGAGGCCACAGGATCGGACAGGCCTGGGTTCAAATCCAGCTGTGGTACTTCATGGCTGTGTGCCCTTGGGCACGTCACTTAGTCTTTCCGTGCCTCCGTTTCTCCATCTGTTAAATGGGGTTGACGATGCTCCCTGGGTCACAGTACTGCTCTGAGCTTGTTGTGGAGGGCTCAGGACTCCGTAAATGGGGTTAATGCTGGGACTGTGGGCAGAGACCAGCCTGCATATCCTGAGGCTTATTCTCTCACGTGGGCAGCTTCCGGGCTTTTGTGGAAGACAGCGAGAGTGAGGACAGTGCCGGGGAGGGTGGCTCCGGGTTGCTGCAGAAACGCGCTAAAACCAGGGAGGAGAAGGTAAGTGCTGGGGCCTGGATGGACCGAGGTGGGGGGGTGCTGCTGACAGGAAGGGGTCCCCAGACCCTCCGTGCTGGCCTACCCTCAGGCCCAGGAGGATGCGGACTACGTGGAGTGGCTGAAGGGGCAGAAGGAGATTCACAACACTGATACCCTGCAAGAACTGGTGAGTTCTCGTGTCTATACCGTTTCCAGCCTTTTTCTGGAAACGAATCCTTGAGGGAGTAGTCAAGAGCACCTAGTCTGAAGGTGGGGTGTGCCCCTCTCTGGGTGCCAGTTTCTATTTCTATAAAATGGGGATTATCCCCTCTAGTTTATAGGCTGGCCGTGAAGTGTCAGTTACTTAAATCTACATGGTGTCCATGCCTACCTCCTTCCCGGCCCGCAAGTCCCTGACCTGTGTCCTGTCTGCC